TTGTAATAAATGAATAAGTGTGCATACAAAGCTGGAGGTTCCAAACGGATAATAATAATTGCATTGCAGAAAATATATAGAAACGGAAATGAATCCCAAATTATATAGATTATAAAGCTGCTAGTTCTGCAAAAAGGGAGTTCATCGTCAGGGATTAAAAGATATCTGTGAAAATCCTCATGCTGTCCAAGATGGAGGATTTCAGTCAATCTTTGAAAGCCTGGCAAGAACTTTGATACAGGTGCTATTATCAAAGTTCATTGATCATGACAAAAGCTGGTTAGCAGATAACCAGGTACAAAAGTGAAGGAATTGTGAACAGGTGAGCAGCATTTCCAAAAGTTATAAACAATCTGCCTAAGTATAGAAGTGCAGATGACAGAAAGCAAAAAATATTAATGTTTGAAGCAGTCCAAAAGGAAACGAGGGCAGTTCAGCCTAATTTTGCTTTCTTTTTGGAGTTGGCATCTGAACTTTCAAAGTCATTGTGTCGACTGTTTCTGCTTCATCAAACTTCTGACTGAGTCGAAGACGTACTTTTGAGCCTGAACCACCATCTCCTGTAAGCACAAGGAGTAATAAGTTAACAGTTCATCTAAAGAAGACATGGTTATGTGTTACAAGTCTAGGTATATTTATCAACCTGTCATCAGTAAGTGTTCATTTTCAGTTTGTTGGTGAGCTGAAACCGAGACAGATTCTGGTTCACCTGTTAACTGAGCATGACCAAATTCTGGTTCAACTTCAGAGCAATATAGAATTGTATAACGCTGTCTAGCATCAGCGAGCTGTGTTTGGACTGGTTTAATGTGAACCAAAAATGTCTTCGTTTTAAGCCGAGCATGAACAAACTCAAGTGGTAGTTCAAGATTCTGCAAGAAGTACAGAAGATATAAGGGTGACAAGCAAATAGCGCACTGAATATTAAATTTGAGCAGTTAAAGTAACCTGATTAAAATGATCCATTGCTTCAAGGGCAGTAAAGGTGAGAATATTTTCTGCTAGATCTCCAAAGATAGAAGCAGGTATAACTCCACTGTCGTCGCTCAAATCAACGTCAAAGCGGCACCTAAAACATAAGTATAAAGTGCTTAGGCGATACTGTATAATATTAACAATAACAGGAACTCTTTGCATCTAAATTAAAGTTAATGATGTAGTAATATAGGACCTAGGCATAGCAGGGCCCTTCTCTTTGCATAAGTTACAAGTAAACTCAATTCCATAGTCTGCTGCAGTAGCTCGGCAACACTTTGCACAGCTCATATACCAATATTTTGGAAGATATGTTCAAAAGAGAGCTTTGCCTTCACCCAGGCAGTCTAAAAGATAGACAAGTATCAGACGAAATGCTAGATAGATATGAAACCATAAAATTACATAACAATTTATTATTTAATCACCTTCTGTGATGGGATAACATTGCAAATCAGAGTAGTTTTCTGATCTGGTTTGAAACAAAGCGCAGGATTGTACTTAATATAACTCTTTGCATCAATGATTTCAGCAATCAACTTAGCATTTCTCATTGCCCTACAAAAAAAAAGGACATGTAAGGAAAATACTGGGAAAAAATGATACAGCTCATATAATGCTGCATAAAAACATGTTAGCTGAAGTCATTGCACCAATTCTTGAGCTGCCTTGCTTCCTGTATTGGTGGATCAACAAGGAGTGCAGAATCGAACCAAGTAGAGAGAGCAACACCTAAAAAATAAACAATAGAATGAATATTAAATTATGATTAAGAAGCTTGACATACAAATAAAGGTCATAATACAGAAAAATAGCAGTTCAACAAACCATTGTAGTTGGTAACTTTCAGCCTTCGACCAATGATAACGGGATAGCTTTGCATGTTATTCAACAAAACTTGACCTTCATTGTTCAGAAAATCATCCCATAGAGAAAGCAGGACAGTTTGGGACCTAACATTGACATAAAATCAGGATGAAAATGATTCAAAGCTATAGGAAAAACGAGACAGAGACAGTAAAAAGGTTTGTAGCATGATAAAAAGACATTTCGCACTCTTCATTAAGGAGGACAAATTTTTGAACATTTGACTGTTTGGAGTTTTTAGTGATCGTTTTCTTAGCCAATGAACTGATCACTACTCCAAGCACATCTGCAAAGGGAAAGAAAGCAGGCTGAGAATATTTTCAGTTTGTAATAAAAACATGAATGATAGACTGTTTGCATACTCACCGACGGACTTGCTTCTATCATCATCCATGTATTCAGCTAAATCAGCAAATTGAGTAAAACTAAATTTAACAGGCATAATGTCTTCACTGCCATTGACTTCTTCAATGACAGTTTTTGAAGTGATCACCCATTGTTTGGTTAATCCAAGAGTCTGAAACTTTGGCGGAATAGTCCTGACATCAGCATTTGAAATCTTATATTTTTTATAAACTTGCAGCATAGGACTCATTCTCGCAATATCAGCATTGAAGATTATCCCTTCGACTTTAGAGCTCTATCAGGAAAAAAAAATACATACCAAATACGATTAACAAATAAATAAAAGAAGAAATAACTGATAGTCGTTTCAGGTTCTAGAATGCAACCTCTGAATCATAAAAGACAAACTTTTGCTTCTTGGTTGGTGTTCCCATAGAATCTGTCACCTGTTGTTTCTCCTGACTGTGATGATACAAGACCAGTTTTTCATATCAGGCATGATGTCCCCAATCAGCAAGAGGTTAGACATTCCTGTAAAAAAGGGAAAATGATCATAATGTATAGGTTTGGGTATAGATAAGACCTTAACAGTAAGTAAACACAGCTATAAACTGGTACAAGTATACCTGAATATAAGAACATTCTACTGCTGGCTCAATTCAAAAATTTCATTGAACACAACATTTCTAGTTTTGCAGTCTGTTTTTACACACCATCAAAAGTTCCTGGTACAATAAGTATTTTCAGCTCACTTGAAGCTCTAGCTCTGGACAAGGCTACATATAGCTGTCCATGAGAAAAGACAGGTTCCCGCAAGTAAATCCAACATAATCAAGAGTTTGTCCTTGAGATTTATTAATGGTCAATGCAAAACAAAGTCGGACAGGAAACTGAGTTCTTATGAATGCAATGGAATTCTTTTGGTTGTCAGAAGTTTGTAAGGGTATCTTTGGAATGAGAACTCGCTTTCCTCTATGCTGGCCGAAGACAATTTCAGCAGAGATAGTATGTCGCCCAAGCTCTCTACATATAAGCCTTGTGCCATTGCATAGGCCTTCAACAGGATTTAGATTCCTTATTAGTATAATCGGGCAGTTTTCTTTTAACATTAACCTGTGAGGAGGAAGGCCTTTTGGATTCTGAGAATTAAGGAAATCCTCGTAATCACCCTGGTGTCGCTGATCAACAGCTTTGTCAGAACTAATGTAAGTATGAAGCTCTCCAGGAAACCTCCTAATCATTATATCATTTAACTCATCAACCGAGTTATTTTTAGGGGTAAGAATACATCTATTAATCATGCTATATGGATCCTGGGAATAGAGAGTTAAATCTGGAAATACGGAGCGTAGCAACCTGTTAATAAAGAAAATAAATTAGAACGTGTATACATTAAAGAGTAGATGGATAAAACAGGCCAATAATAAGTCATTAACCTGTTTAAGGATTCTTCTTTATCATAATAAGGAATGACTAAGTCTCTGGACAAAGTTATTTCGCTGTTCAAGTCCACAGGTTCGCGCCCTTCGCCAACTCTTAACAGGAATTCAGAAAATTGAGGATCTAATATAGCTCGCATGTTTTCTGTTAACTTCAGTTTATGAAGCTTATACCACAATGGAGAATTGAGAAAGCAAGATTGCAAAAGGCCTTCCTTTGTTGCTTGTTCAATAACAGGTAGTGTCTGCCGAAAATCCCCAAAATACAATAACTTTACCTCCAAAAGGCAGTTCAGATTCCATTATGTCTCTAAGCAAATCATCAAATGCCTCAATGGTTTCTCGTTTTGCCATGGAAGCTTCATCCCACAAGATCAGTTTAGACTCCGACAGCTTTGCAACACTGCCTTGCTTGCTAAGCTGACAGGCTCTGTTCTTTGAGAAATCGAGAGGTATCTTAAACCTTGAGTGTGCAGTTCTTCCTCCAGGTAGGATAGACGCTGCAATTCCAGAGGTTGCTACTGCAATGGCTATATAACCTTGCGATCTCAGAGTAGCAAGCAGTGACCGGTATAAAAATGTTTTACCGGTACCTCCAGGACCATCAATAAAAAAAGAATGTCCTTGGAAAGCAAAGCATGCTTCTAGGATCATGTTATAAGCATACTTTTGCTGTGAATTTAATTTTAAAGACATTAGCAGATCTTCCGGTGGTATATCTATGTTTCTTTCAGCTTCAATCTCTTTTGTTAGGTGAACTTGATCCCACTAACAAGGTCATCTAATGGTAACTGATACGCAGCAATGCTTGTACCCATCTGGCGAAGAGATTTGTTAATATCAGCAAGAACTAATCCCCTAATTTCAGCAGGAGAGTGGTCATGAGATTGGTTGTGCCGCTGATAATCTCTAGAAAAGTCCAATTCAAATTTTTTCCACAGCATCGCGGGATCAGTTGGAGAACAATAGACCAGGAGAGTAGCAAACAATAATCTGAGCGAAGATGGCATTTGAAATGCAGCGGCTTCCTCAAGTGTTTCTTCTATATATGTATCAGATTGCAACAACCCAAGCGCTAGAGCAGCCTCTCTAAACGAGTTCATTTTTTTATCATTAACAGTCAAGAGATAATCAAATGATATCGGTCCAGGAATATGATTTAAGAGAAGCCTTAGATAGTACCTCTCTCCTTCTCTTGGATTAACACTGACAAGTCTACCTATCACCTTTCGACGCTTCCTTTCCGTCCACTGTTTATACTTGGAAGACCAAACGAAATGCTGAGGGAAATCTTTATAAAAGCATTTCAGGTTTTCAGCGGTTGCATTGGTTGCATTCATCTTGAAAAACTCAGTTAGCATGGTCTTAGAAAAATCAACTTTTGCTAACAACTGCAACAAATCTGAGTTTTCGAAAAGAAACAAGCTGCTGATTTGGAAGGTGAACTTGGAGAGTATAAACAGATGGGGTCATCTCATTTAAACGGAACTCATAGATGCGCCAAAATGCTTCCGGAGGTGAAATGTATCTACCTTTTTGGAACTCTTTAATCTCGTCAGTATCAGTAGCACTATCATCCGTCATAATCCTAAAAGAGACTTGATCATGTCCCTTGAACACATACTTATACAGGTACTTGACCAGTTTAATGGTAGAACAAATCTCCACATTCATGTGGCAATCGAACAAAGCAAGAAGATAGGGGTTGTAAGGCACAACCCACCTATTATCAAGGGTGAATCTGCGAACTTTCACCTTCTTGCCATCATCCCTTCTTCTATAATATGGGTAACTATCTTCACTGTGGTTGTATGAGGGCAAAAATTTTTTGGATAGTGATTTTGCAGGAACCGTCTTTCATACATGGGCAACTTTTATCCATGTCTCCACAAGGACCATGGATCATATGCTTTACAACAAGAGAGTAGAGGTGAGGATACTGAAGGCGATCAGGTAATTCAGCACAGACTACCTTGTCGTATGAATCTGGATTGAGCAGCTTAAACTGAGGCTTTAAAATGAGTAACAAATGAGCATGTGAAATCCTCGTTTTTGAAATTCGATAACATAGACGCATGCTGCCACCTCACCAAAAATCTGCTTATTCAAGAGTTCGTGTTTAAGCATTTCAAATTTAGCTCTAAAACTCTAGCTAAAAGATCAGGCCTATCCTGCGGCTTCTCATGATACTTCAGATTGCATTGAATTTCTTTCCATGCCGGATTGCAGGTCATGGTAAGAAAAATGTCTGATTTTCCATATTTTTGTACAAGTGACATTGCATCAAGATAGCGGCGCCTCATGTCTCTGGACCACCTATAAAGGAAGCAGGCAGCACTATCCTACGACCAACTTTAGAACCTTCAGTTTGGCCTAGAGAGACACTATCCAATACCCCTTGAAGAATTTCTGATCTGACAACATTTTGTCGATGTCTATGAAAGTCCAGCCTAGAAGTTTCTATCTTCACATAGGAATCAACTGAAAATTGTTGTAGAAGTCTAAGACAGTGCAGCAACATCGACTCATCGCTGTCTCTCATTTGAAACCTATAACAATAATATTCTCTTGCTGATACAGTGTCCTCTTCGTTCTTTCCATGTTCAACGGCTATAAAGAAAAGTAAAAAATATCAAACTAATGATGAAAAGATTATGATGCTCACCCTAACAGCCTCAAATAGCAAGAAATATACTTGCCTCTGCGTTCCAAATCGAGTAAATGTGAAGGGCTGTTAACAGAGGAAGGATCAACATTTAAATCATCCTCACAAGAATCTGCCTTTCTCTTCCTCTTGCGAAGTTTTTTAACACCATGGTGCCATCCACATTCACCTTGAGGAAAGAGAATAGGGTACTGCAAAGGATCATAGCAGCCATAGTAATGCTTAATTCTATGGCTGGTATTAGAGTGGGTATAAACTTGAATATGAATATTTCTATCTGCCGATTCATCCTCATCCTCAGTCCATATGGCAGCAACTTGAGAGGCTGTAGGCAGATTATAGACTCGCTGGTCCAAACCGGGATAACAATTCAAAACAATTTTATAGGTGTCAATGTTCGGAACATTTCTGAGATTCTTAAAGAATTTAGCATAAGGGTTGTTCGAAAGGATACGCATAAGCAATCTTAAAGTGCTTTCACGCAACTTATCAGAACTTCCAATTCTCTTTGCTAATTCTTCATCAGAATCAAAAAAGTAAAACTGAATTCCAGAAGGTTTTTCATATGACTGTACCAAACTATTAAGGAAATGGTAGACCTGACCTTGAACACGGAAAGTATAAACACCTTTCGTGTTCTTGGTCAGTTCAGGTCATATTTTGCAGAAAGGATGTGAATCCCAAGTTGTTATTATAGGTCCGAACATTGTTTCTGAAATGAGCACTTTCCTCATCATTTTCGATAAATAGACGCTTAAGATCATAAGGCATCGATGGAGCCACGATAGAAATATCTCCTCCAGAGCAACAAAAGTTAGGAGGTTCCAAATGGAACCTCTTGGCTCCACAGTGCTCACAATCAGGAGCATCTGGAAGAGTTAAAGCTTCGTGGGGATTTCATTGATCGAAAAATTTGCCGCTGCCTCCCTCTTTTAGGTGTAGCTGCATTTATTTCGAAACTATAGCTGAGAAGCAAACTAAGCTGTGCCTCTATTAGGCTAATTAGCAATGGCATCAAAATACCCGAAATAGCTATTGAAGAATAAAATGCCAACCCGGAGTTTGCTTCTTACACGACGACGAGAACAGCGGTTTCGGGTCGAAGGTTGAACTCTATATGAGAACCAGAACAGTGGGAAATTGCTTGCTTTCCTCACAGGAGCATTTCTTTCAATAGAATGGGTAGATTGTCTCTCCGGAATAGAGGAGGTTTCTGTAACCGTATTAAGAAATAAGCTAACTAAAAGGGGCCAATGGCATTTCAGTGAACACAATCAATGCAATCGGAATTAAAGAATACTTAGCAGGGTTGTGTTGAGAATAGCTGATGTTTAAGAAATGTACCTTGAGAAGCAGAAGCTGTTTCACAAGTGTGGTTCTCAGAGGGTGGCATATTTTTTCCAAAATGAAATATTTGGTGGCTACCATTGAAGAGAGATTGCAGTTGACCAGATTTCATATGAACCTTGGGCAAAGAAGAGTATGCAACAACATTTTCAAAAAGTTCAGGAGCAAGTAGAGGATCTTTGCCTATGCAAGAAGGCTGCAGGATGTCTCAGAAACTCTAGAAGAGCTGTTGTGCCTATCAACTGCAGCACAGGAACAAGCAAGCAGGTCTAATAATAGAATCCTGCTCCTTAAAGGATGCATCTTTTTGTTGGAGGAATTGAGCTGTCTCACTTGTAGTTGTGAGAGGATAAAGCTCTTCAGAGTTCACAGAAACATGGACCGAAGAACAATACTCAACTGGATTTTCAAAAAGATTGTTCATAGCAAATCCTCTTTGTCAAAGTTGAGAGCTTGGATGACGCTATCAGAACGATTAAAGCAATCGCCTAGTCCATCATGCAATGCTACAGGTATAGAGTTCCTAATTTTTCTCCTAGGCAACAGAAATCAGGCTCAATAGTGGAAGAAGGAAGGTTAAAATTTTTTCTTTTTTCTGGAAGGAATTTTCCTTTGCAGCTCCTAGATCAGCCTTAACAGTAAGTGGAAACTCTGCAGATTGCAAATGAAGATGGATTCATTCGCAAAGAATCGAAATGTTGAATCAGCAACCAGCAGGTAGGGAAGCAAAGACGATCTAAACACCAAGAACTGGACAGGAAGAAAGCAGCAAAAGAAGGACATCTCCTACTATACCTGCAAGAATACTTGCATTTGGCATGTCGTTTGCAGCCTGAGAAGAGGGAGCAGAATGGACGCGAGGAATAAAAGGAGCGGATTCATGAGAGGACATATATTGTAATGCCTCAGTAATGATAGCAGCATTGTCATTACCGCTCTTCAAGGCCTCGGTCCTAAGATTTCACTATGCATAGAAGAGTGATTCGCACCATCAAGTTTTTCATGATGTGAATCAGGGAAAGAAACACCCGATTCCATATAACCCAGTGGAACCTTACGAATACGTGGGAGTAAATGCGCATTCTTTTTCTTGGCAGCTCTATTTTCTTTCCGGCGTGCAGAAGTTGCATTTTTTTCGAAGGTGGCATTTCTGCGTATTTTTTGCGGCGAGTAGCATTTCCATCCATCGTTTTTTAGTAAGAGCAAAAAATGTCGAAGGACTATATAAAGAGAGGAATGTCTAACTTAGCAAAAAAGAATGTAAATCGAAAACTGGCAGAAAGCAGAGCAGGCAAAAAACAAGCGAACACAAAGAGATGAAGGAGTTAATAGCGGCAGCCGAGCAAAGAACAAATGCTTACATAAAAAATAATCAGGCATGTAAATATAGCAGCAGAAACAATAGAATAACTCGTATATGCAAGAAAAGGATCACAAAAGGTACAGGAAGTAAAAAAAGTCCCAAAGTTAAAAAAGGAAAAGCTGGAGCAGGCCATAAGTGCTGATGCATCAGAAAATATATCCCAAAGATGCACAAATTAAGGACAAAATATAGAGAAAAGAGCAAAACGAGAACAAAATCAGAAGAACTAACCTATGAACACGAAGAAGCTCAACACCGCAGAAGTGAATAACAGCAGAAACTATCAAAGAAATGGCAATCATGTAAGAGGTAATAAGAAAAGGTGAAAAAAATGGGAGACAAAAATAGAAGCTAATTTGGTGATAATAATTTAGAAGGGGCAGACAAAAAAGGGAAAAAATAGTTGAACCAGTGCATTAGAAAGCCGAGAAGCAAGGAAGAAATAAAAAGCAAAGCAGCCTGATAGCAATCTTTGAAATATATAAACAGTTAAAGAACAACAAATTAAGCCGAACTATAAAACCAACATGCTCACCAGGAAGCAAAAACGACAGCAAGAGTGCAAATTAAAACCAGACTGATAAATTAGGGAAAATGAAGGTTCAAAATAGACAAAGAAAACGAAGAACAATCGTATGAGGTAGTTCCCTCTGCTAACAAAGAAACAAGAGTTTTAGAATAGAGAAAAGAATGCAGTGGGTGCACAATTACCATTGTCATGATGATGCTCAGTAGAAAATCCGCCGCGGAAAAGAGAAACTGTAACCATTGTGCAAATGCAAAACACCAAACAATGTCAATCAATCTCAGCAAAAGGAGCTGATGGTAGGCAATGGCGAAAAGTGACGGTTTTTTATAGATTTACAAACATAACCTCAAGTAAAGGGCAAAAGGCGACAAGGTCCATGGAGTGGAATCGTAAATATAGCCACAAGGGATGGGTAATATAGAAAATTAAGGTAGCAATTAATCAGGTCAAGTACAGTCACTTGTCGGCAGAAACAGGCTGGTGACAAGTAGTGCCTGATGAGGAACTCGAGAAAGCTTGCTCTGGAACTAAACAAACAAGATGCAGGCTTGTTTGTAAAAATGAGTCAATCAGATTAGCAATAAGGAGTTGGTTACGACAGGAAAAGTAACGAAAGAAAAGAATAAGACAAGCATGTTTCTTGGCTAATAACTACATAGAATTGGTAATTAAATGCGATTTTTTTGGGTAACAAAAATATTAATAATTAAAAAGGCCAGCAATTAAATGTGATTTTTGTAGCAATAAAACTGCCAAATCAGAACCGAATTAATAAAAGAGTAATTGAAAAAAACTGATAATTAAACTCCATTTGTTGGGCAACCCAAAACAAAAGAGGACATTTTCTTAATGAAATCTGGAAAAAAGGAAATTAGATGTGATATTTCTGACAAGAAAAGAAATGTTGCTAATAATTGCAAAAAGTTATGAATTAAATGGCAGTTGTTGGGTAACAAAAAATGGCGATAACAAAAAAATGGTATTATTTATCAGTTATTAACAATGTATTCTAAAAAGTTGGTAATCAAATATGATTTGTTTGCTAACAAAAAAAAACACAAATAAAAATAGATAAGTAAATAATTATAACAATTAATAGCCGGGAATCAATAATTAAGCATGGTGTGTGGCGTGACCAGGTAAAATCAATTGAAGTGTAAAATTTTCACAATTGAAGGATAACAAAAGCAATATAAAAAAATAATATATAAGCAATTATTGCAAAAAAATAATTATTAATAATTGCAGTTAATTTGGAAACAAAGGGAAAGTAGTAATAATTGTAAAGAACCGGGATATAAAGTTTTTTGGCAACACAATCTATTGTTGAGAAAGGGAAAAAATGGCATCATTAATAAGTCATTAACAATTAAGAATAAATAATTGGTAATTAAACGTG